ATATATTATTAAAGCAGACTAGTTTTCAATGTCCAGGTTTTACTACTCTGGAACTAACGCTGTTCCTAGAAGACTTTCAGAAACAATGTGTGATAACCAACGCGAAAAACCAGAACACAGATCGGCGACTCGAGAATCCTTTATTCTTACGCCAATATGTAACCGACAATAAGGTTATTATACACAAGGTCTAATGATAAATGTTATAGCAATAGATCACCATAATACTTCTGATAGTTTTTCTACTTCTTCCAACGAACAGTGAACGATGAGATGATGACACCCGCGAATAACATGCAGTTGGGTTTGAGCAAGCAACTAAGAATTGATCGTTCAATCTTCAACTACATTGGCACTAGTTGTGAATTTAAGGCTGTATTTTCGAAAGTGCTACTGAGTGTATGTGATTTGGGAGATATCTACATATAAAGAGTCTTCAACACACATCACGTAGTCTTGCAACCACTTAGTTTCCAAGATGGAACGTCAATGGAGGTGAACATTGAACATTGTTTTTGGAACTGGTAGCCATTGTTGGGCAACTCGAAGGCGCGAATGGTTCGATGGTGTACAAGTTCAACAAGGATGACTAGAAACGGATAAAAGTACTTCATAATTTTGTATAAAATATTTGTTTATAGACTTCTACTTTTCTTCGCTTTAACTGACAAACAATACAACTTCCTTCTTACAATACTGATGTTTTGGGGTTAAAGTGGAAGAAAGTACATAGTATTTATCGGTGCGGAGCGTCTGCGTAAAAATAGGAACTTAGGGATAAGTTTCTTGACAGGGGATGATAAATTTTTGAACTCTGCAGAAACCACAACATGTATTGTATTCCCCTGGGTTATCTAAAGACTTGGGCCCAGGCTTTACTTACGGTATAATTTCCACAAATATTCGAGTAGTTCAAGTCTCCTGTCACTGATCGCCAGGTACACTTAATACATTAACCAGCATGAGTTAAACCATAAAGACTAACAAATCTTCACTCAGAGGCTACAGATATTCTAAGTGGGATAACTCGAACCCATCGTCACGTAATCTAGTTTGAGGGTCATACTTTACCAGGAGCTAGGTTACGGAAACAAAACTTACCGCAAGAGTATTTGAGCTTTGCTCATGGCTTAATCGCTCCGGTAAAACGAGTGAAAAATGCTTTTCAACGTTTGACTTCATCCCCTTAAAGATACGAAATCGCTTTCGTGAACAAGATAGACTTTCCAAGAGATTCAGTGAGTTTCCATCACTCCTTGCAGTCAGAAATACTTGTGACGAGCAAGCATAATCAGTTATCTAGGTTCATCACGACAGAACGAAAATCCTGCTTGCAGTCGAATAATATGAAAGCACTGGTAAAACTAGTGGAATCAACAATTAACAACAACAGGATAAGTACTTACTGCTCATTACAGGAAGAGAGAAAACTACGAAAGCAAACAGACTTTACTAGATGTTTTACCGATAAAGAATTTTTGAGCAACATTAGCGCTCCGACAACACCAGATTACTGATCGAGTAACAATATATTCACACGACAATTAATTTTACTCGTTATAGCATCTGGCTGGACCTCATATAATTCTGACCCTGGTGGAATTGCGTCCATCCTGCTGAATGGAGGTAGTGAGGGCATACCCACATTCTTGCTCGAGCTTTTAAATGTCCCTAGCCAGTCACAGTCACTCATAGAGCTAAAAAGTGTTTTTCGCAACGCCTGGTCACAAATTCGGATCATCTTCCATTGGTGAAAACTACCAACTTATCATATCATTTACTTCCGGGTTGCGGAAAGAGTTACGGGGCAAGATGTTTTTTCGCACATCCACCGGGAAGAAATGTTTAACCCCGCAAAATACGTTTTCTTTGAAGGCAGACCATGTTCCACCCACCTTTTTTATTACTCTGATTTTTGTTACTGCTGAATGCGATCGTGACGTATTTGTCTAAACCCCCCTCTTCTACCTCAAAATGCTTTAGACAATGTCTCTCGGAAAGGACCGGTTCTGAAGCTGAAGCTGCGATACTCAGAGACGCTCTGTTATCCTGGCTCAGCTTCTTCCTAGAAGGCTGCTCCCAACTTGTGAAATTTTCAATTATTCATCTCCTGGACCTTTACGAAGTGGAGTGATCAAGAGTAATGTAATAGGGTTATTGTTCTTCTTAATTCCCTTCAACAATGTCTGCAAATTAATATACGTGTAAAACTTGGGCACTGTGGTAGTAAGTGATTCCATCTTAGTTTGTTTATTAGATGTATCACACAGTGAAATAGTGTTATTTACTAGATGACGTTACCGACAAAATTTATTGTTCATGATCATATCATAATTGATATCACATAATAACTTATATGACTATGAACGGTAAATTTTGTTGGAAACGTCATCCAGTAAATAATACCGTTTCACTGTGTGATATATCTAATAAACAAACTAATATGGAATACCTGCATAGCTTCTAAGCATGGTTCACCGTACTTTTCCAGGGACATCTTCCCTTATCTGACTTAGAAAGAACAATTTACATACGTTGAAAACTACCCGAATAGCCTATTTGGGTAGGGCAACACCTCGAGACCTCCATTCAGTGCTAGTAATCGTGGGGTCCTATACATTAATAACTCCCACTCCGACTATTTTCTCCAAACACCGAAATCTACAAAAGACTCAGGAGCTACATAATGACAGAGCATAGCATTTACACAGTACGCAAAGCCTATTATTGCTAAATGCTGCAGACTCACAGGCCTACCATACCAAAAACTCTACACAAAGGGGACTAAATTTATTTTATACAATGTCGTGGTTCATCCAGTACTTGAGTGCATCTTAGGTTATAGGCATAGATATGATGGAGTCTGTGATGAAAATATCCAGCGCAGTTATACACGGGGCCTACTACACATACATGAAAACCTTACGGGAATCGGTGCATAAAACGCTAACTCGAGAGACTTTGGATGAGAAGCCTAAAGGTCAACCTAACTCTTCTCTTCCGTCTTTTATAGCTTGCATTGTGGGAAAAACTTTCACTTTCTGTGCACAGAGATCTCCCACTAAATTCCAACACCTTCGGAGTGACTTCTTGTCACTAAGGTGAATCGCCCCATTCTGCAGGAACAGCAATATACAATTTGAAGGCTCGAGATATTTCTGATTTTTATGAGGGCTTAGATCTTTATCTTGAAAAAGATAATGATGAACGCCTAAACAGATCATGCTTCTGCCTTTAAATATATACCATTCGCCCAGCCTATTGTTGAGATGCGACCATGTGGGCTCGGCACAGATTTATGGGGCATCTTATAAACTAACTTGCCGTCTATTGTCGGATCTTTAAATACCACTTCACAATGTCTTATCTCATTTATTTTCTATAACGTCTTTACTTGATCCTCATTATATCCCATTAAACCTAACATTTTATAGCTTTTTATGAATATGATTCGACTTATTCTATTCCTATTCTATGTAGGGTACGGTTGTGCACCAAATGCACAAAAAGGCATAAAATATAAAAAAACCGGCATAAGGAAAAAAATGTATTAAAACCAAAAGTGGAAATCATGATAGTGCAAACTGTACAGTAAGCATTATACATTGCAATTGAACGTTGTCGGCCTAGGGAGTTTCCTTTATTAATGCATTTATTAGTGATACTTGGACTTACCCATTTCATTACACTTTATTGATTCACCTTAGCACTTTTACTTTTCTAAAACAGCTTTCAATCCCTTGTAAACGCTGTACTTACCTCAATATTGGTTGGTTATCGTATGCCTACAACCACGGGATGAAAACGAAACGAAGTCGATTTTCCCGCTCAACCTGGAGGACAATTGTACAATTCAACAACTGTACGGTCTGGTTTAGACAATGAGTGTATTATATGTATCAAATATTTAACAGTTGAAATATGATTAACTTGTAGACAATCTGAGATTTGAGACTATATCATACTTGATCGTGCCTGTAAAAATGGCATGCATTTTCATGTAAATTTATGTTTATATGAGAATATACATTATTATTATTACTAAATGTTCTTCGGTCCACTGACCTACTACTCAAAAGCAGTTTAAATTAGTTATACTAAAATTCCTTATGCAAAACCACTGTCAATCACGTCTCATAAACCGTTAATGCCCAGCTCTCGCTACGCTCGGGCCCACGCTGTTCCTTGAAGTTTTCAGAAACGCTTAGTTATAACGGACGAAAAAACCAAAACACCGATCTGCCGCTTGATATTTCTTTATTGTTACACCGACATATGACAATTATAACTGAACTAAGATTTCTGACGATTTTTCACTCTTCTTTCTGAACAGCGACCGATGAGACGATGACTGTCGTATTGATGCCTCCGCGAAAATTGGGGAAGTTGGATTTGAGCAAACAACCAAGAATTGATCGTTCAATCTTCAACTACATTGACAATCACCATTGTGAGGAAACATCGTCACCTTAGTTTTATACATGTGAACTGCTTACTAGCTAGTTCGTGTTTAGAAATCATCTCACCGACTCAAAAAGAAAGATGAACTTCTTGCACTCAGGCCACAACACATTACAGAGCCCCATAATTCTGTGTAACCCAACTCACTAACCTGTTACTTGTAGGGGACTTACTAGCGAGCTCAGTCACAGAACAAGTATTTGAATAAAAATTCGAGTTTATGAGACGATGGTGTAACAATGTATTATAAAAAATACAGTATTGAGTTATATAGATCGATCGGTTACTTGGTTATACAGTGCGCAATAGCGTCCACTGCTGGAGTCCTGTCTACTAGTAGGAGCTGTGCATCGACTGTAGTCTGCAAAATCCGGAGTATATGACAAGGTTAGTAGTGAAACAAGTAGACAGTATAGATTAGTGAGAAGACGAAGCATGGAGCAGCGTACATTTTACAACGAATCGTTTTAAATAGCACATGTATATAATGTTTCTTATCTCAACATCTGACAAGAAATTGTACAATAGTAGTGTTACATACTCCATATACTACTCGTTTAATACTAAGAGTTCTGTTACGTCTAACACTCACTGTTAGATACCGAATCAGGTTAGCATAAGGGTACAAACTATTAAAATTAAAAACCTTTTGCTTATTGTGCTTACTGAGGCTACAACAGCAAGAAAGATGGGTCCCAGAGATATTGCCTACTCCAGCAGTGTAACATCTCATCGGTGAGATCACAGATAATTCTCTAGAGCGCGCTTTTCAAAAGTCAAAGGAGTATGAGTGTTAATGTTGAGAATTTGGGTTACACGGAGCTGCGAAAGGTTGCTAAGACATATGGTATCAAGGCTAACAAAAAGGTTTATTGGGAATATTTTATGCTGACTAGGCACTCTAGGCTTGTGAGCTAAGGGAGTTACTAAGAGTTGTACTCTCTGCTCAGGTGCAGGTTTGTCACTTTTTTTTGCTTCCTTGAGACCATAGGAAGTTGCAGGCAGTAAAGAAGAAGAACCCGCAATATGCTCTGTATCAAATTTTGAATCTGAATCTACAGAGGTACTTCTGTCTAAGTTTCTGTGCTAACATTTACAGGCAAACAAAGAATCGTCTATCAGCTGTAGTGACAAGACAGCGGATTGTATCACAGTTGGAGAAAACGAAATAGATGACAGAACGACATCCACACCAAAAAGTGACGATGAAAAATCACACGTCTTGAATCGGACGTACGAGGTTTGTTGCTTATTCTCTTGTGGAGTTTTCAGGTCACTTCTCCTAAAATAATTCACAAGAAGTTAATTACCGTCGAAAATTCAATCAATCATGTACCAGGTAATCAGATCAAGTTGAATGTGTTTTGTGTATTTTAAATTGTTTCTGTCGCCATGCACTAAAAGTTTACTTCGTTTTTCTCATTATCGTTTGCAATACCTTGTCGCATAACGTAGTAGGGAAGTTTTGTGAATCCATTAGTATTGAAAGGAACTCACTCACCAAATATTGGAGTCACTAGGATTCTCATCTAGGAGTGTACAAGTCTCTACTTGGAACAACCTACTAGTCTACTGGCTTGTGGGAGTAAGTTGACTGTTTCAGTGTTGCGTTCGACTTAATTCTGAGTTTCACGGCGATATGAATGTAAAGTTAATGGTTTGTATTCATTCTACACAGTAGTATTAGTACAAATGGTAGGAAATCCATGATTTCGCCTAGAAAACATAACATATCGATAGCTATGAACTAAGTGGATAGAAACGAAGTGCAGTGGAGACAAAAACAAACAAACAACTCATACCAGACTATTTGTTTTTCTGAAGGAAACGGTTATCAGAAAAAATGCTTAATTAAACTGATTTTTCACTGCAGGACTGGGTAGTAAAATATGGCAATCTGACTAAAATAGCAATAACGACTGTCAAGATGTTTTGTGTATCAACCTACCTACATCCAATATTGTTTTTGCAAGCTGGTGTTAACCAATTAGAGTTCTTTGCGCTCGCTTCTTAATTTTGCTCTAAAGGTTCCTGGTCTTCGGTAAACTTCTGCGTATTTCATCCCACCACTCTACTGTCGTAGCTTTGGTTTACTCGCAAAGGAGTGGTGCTGGGATTAATTATATATTGTTTGTAGTATGTGGTGTGTAGATATCTTGTCGACTTTACTGCGTGATTATTAGTCAATATGGTCGAGTCCTGCTCCGTTTGCTTTATCTAAGCTTTATCTGAAGGTTGCTTATAACTTTTATCTTTTATCTGAGCTATCTGTTTTTGGTTAATCGATTTCTGTGTACACAGATAGTAACGTTTGTATATTTTTTCTAATAACATAAGCCGTAATCACATGCATACTTTTCCCATCAACTTAGACCTTCCTCATTCATTTTGTTTTATAGAAATCAATTCAGTTATTCGTAAAAGTATTACTAAAATACCAGCGGATAGTGCATTTGCTCGTCGTAAAGCATATGATTTGAAACGTAATCCATCACGTCGATCATCGATTACGCCTCATTGCATCACCGAACCACTTACTCCAACAGCTAAACTGCCTACTCAACGACAAGACATTCGTACTGCAAAATTGTTTGTTAATACTAATCGTAATCGATCAGAAGCATTAAATTCCTGTAAACATGATCGTATTACCTCACGAAGATTATTAGTTGACAATAATCGTCGCTTATAATATTGAAATATTTCCTTTCTATGCTTAATTGCCATCATGTTCAAATAGTCCTTAAATGTACATATCGTAGTAATCTGTCGTATATCCTTTTTAAGGTGGGAGTGAAGGTTGGTCGGAGATCACAATCACACTTTAATATGATTTTAATACTTATTGCTTATCCACAAGACTATTATTTGCACTTGTTTTTGTCGAATATACTTATTGTTACAAAGAAATAACTTTTACATATTTCCCTCTAGTACAAGTTACATAACCAAAGTAACAAAAGTGTATCTTGTCATCTGTGAATCTTGTAGTAAAGTTCATTGGCTTCAGCATTGAGTGATGCAGGTTTTAATGTGAGATGATGTATGCTTTTCTTTAATCTTGTCATACGCGCTTTGGTGACTCCTATAACATCTAATAAACAATATTAGCGACGTGGTTTATTAGCTCTTAAGTTACATCCGTTTAGTTGACAGTCCTAATCGCATTCCTGGTTTTCTTTGCTATCAGTGGTCATCGAAGATGAGGGATTTGTCTGTGGAATAATATTAGTAGTAGGCGAGGAGCAGGATGATACTGCAGGATTTGTCTAAACCGACTGTTAGTTTATCAATAGGATTGGTTGAGTGTGTCCGCCACTTCACTTACTTGACAGGTTGCATCAACACAATCTCAGCATGGATACAAAAGACTCGTGGAACATTTGCTTACTTAAGTTATCGTGTTGTCCGGCTATCTGTTAAAGGACTTATATACTGCTAAGCATTTCACTCTTTCCCTCTTTATTATTGTGAGACATGGCTATTGCAAGTAGGAAATATGAAAAGGTAGCTGTCTTTGACCATATGTGTGTTTGCGTTCTACCTCCCGTGTCAAGTCGTATAATGTAAGCAATATTGAGGTTAGGCGTAGAGTGCCGAGTAAGGAGGGTCAATTGCTGATGAGATGCAGCTAAATCGATTGAGATGGCTAAGACACGTGTTATGCATGCCGAGCCGTCACCATCGACGGGTGATTTTTATCTGACTTAGAATTAAATTGAAGAAGAGTTGGGGGTCGTCGAACGAAAACCTAGTGTAACTCTATGATGTCATTGACTGTTGGTTTCAGTCATGTGGAAGTGATTAAACTGCTTAGTTGGATTCCTTGGGATGCTTAGGATTAATAGCTAGAGACTATTATTGATATGCTTCAAAATCATTTTCAATTGCAGATATGCATACACTCTTTGTGATATCTCAGATCCATTCGATTGTCATGTTTTTCCATATCACTATACTTTCTCCTGTACATTTCTGGTCGTTATAGTTCTTTTCAACCTCTATTCTCTCTCTCTTTGTACGCTACATGGAGTGTGGTAACTCTCACTGTTGTACTTGTCTGCAAAATTTTATATTGAAACTCAGTCATTCAGTCTTCACAGCTGCTTTCAATCACCAGTTGGGTTGGAGGGATTTATCCATTCTCTTTGTCGTTAACTTTGCCATCGATGACGTTCTAAATGCAACTGTGGTGCAGATCTGCTTCTTGGAGATGAATGAAATTTCTATGCGTATGTGGGGAGACAGCGCGGTAATTGCCAACATGTATCGTTATGATGCTATTCAGGATGCCGCAGGTTGGGTTTTTGATACTTTGGTACACGAAATCTTGCTTTACGTCTGTGAAACCTCGTCTCCGAACTGAAGATGTTCAGCCGTTGTTGTTTCTGTAGAGTTAATTGCACCTTATTGCTTCGTCTGAGATCATCTTTGGAGAGCTTGCTACGCTGACTTGGACAAATGATACGAGTGCTGTCCCAGCATCTTATATTCTGTTGACTGCTTGATATTTCTGAATCGGATCGAGAAAGGCAAGAGGTAATCAATTCACTAACTAACACCACATATTGAAGGATATTTATCTTGGGTGAGAATCTGGTGATGCTTCACAACTGGCTAGGTGAAGTCCAGAAGATTATATGAACCAGTGGCTTGGCACGTTATCAGATATGGATGAGAATCGAAATCCATTGTCGACAGACTACAATTTCATCCTTCCTTCTCTTTCTGATAGTGACATAAATTAATAGTGAATGCTATTTTAAACGCTCATGGTGAGTAGGCTTACCTGTTTCTATTGTGTTATTCTTGAATATTTATTTGCTTCGTGCATCTCATTGATACCCATATCGTATGTCTAATATAAGTGTAGAACAGGCGCTGTGGTAGAATATAATTCCATATTAGATATGTTTATTTGACTGATCACACAGAGATATAGTATTATTAACTGGATGACGTTTCGAACATAAATTATTGTCACTCATAATCATAAAAATTTAGTCACATTGCTTCATTATTAGCTCTCCACATTTTTCTTTCCCTCCTTGTTATTTGTTGCAATGTTCTATATCTTCGATATAGGCGTTGCATCATTTCGGTCACACATGTATGGTGGTAAATCTCTAAAAAAAATTTTTGGTGACCAACCCCTTTCTCTATCTCTCCCTATTTAACTACATTACTTTTTAGTACTTTCTTCCTATCCCACTTTATTGTGTAACTACATACTAGTGGAATACATTGCAACGTCCGACGGATTTTCTAGGTTGTTTAACTTGACTGAGTCAATTATCCTAGATTCCTGTGTTCCGAAAATCTAACTGATTTGATCTACGTAATTGACCTCACAGTCATTGCATGGTATTTGGTAAATTGCTTTTGTTAATTGGATCTTTTGGGTCCTTAAGCCGACAAAGTTTATCCCTGAGAGAGATGATCGATTTAATAATTGTCACCTTACTTCCAGCCTCATCGAGAATCCTTTAAGGCTTCTTATGTTCCTCATTTATAACTACAGCAGCGATTTTGGATTCTATATTGGTTTTCATCACTCCCAATACTAATCTTATTTTTTCCATGGATCTTCATACATTTCTGAATAAATTCTAGTAATATTTTCATCATTTAAATCTTTCGGCCGGTTTGTATAGACATTCAACTAAGCCTATCTTTACTGATTCTGGATTGGATGAACTAAAGTCTAAGTATTCATTAGTGCGTCGGTTTCCTATGCATGCTAGTACATAACCCGCTATCTATTCGTTTTATTTTGCAGTCTAGCATGACCAACTTACCTTGTTCCTTTCCTATCTGTTAAGTGAATTGAATTCTGTCCACTATTGGGTTTATATATATGAAGAACTAAGGGGAATGTTCAGATTTGAACATATCCAGCGTTATCCATCTATCTCCACTATAGCCTAGAAGTGGAATTAAACGTTTTAAGAGCTTCATGTTTCCAAATGTCCATAAATGTCTGTTACTATTGGTCACTATTCGGCGGGGACGCTGAAAAGATGCAGAGTCTTCTAAACACCTTGAGCTGCAATCTACGAATGTTTGGCATGCGATTCGCTCCCGCCAAATGCAAGATGATGTTACAGAACTGGTCTACATCGACGCCTAGTTTAAAAATAGGAAGTGAAGTGGTAGAGCACGTTGTCCGCTTCACTTATTTGGGAATTACCATCAGCCCCAACTGGTTGATCTCTGACGAAATCTCAGCACGGATACAGAAAACTAGTTTCGCATATGCCAGTTTACGCCGTCTCTGGCTTAGTAGACGAGATATTCGACTATCGACCAAAGGGCGGGTGTACTGCTCATCAGTCCGCTCCGTCCTCCTTTATGGCTGTGAGCGAGACCTGGCCACTGAGAGTAGAAGACATGAAAAGACTAGCTGTCTTTGATCATAGGTGCCTGCGTTCTATCTCCCGTGTGAAGTGGCATAATAAGGTGAGCAATATTGAGGTTAGGCGTCGAGTGCTAGGTAAGGAGGGGCAATCAATCGATGAGGCTGTGAAGTTACAAAGACTGAGATGGTTAGGACATGTGTTACGTATGCGTAGTCATCGCCTTCCTCGACGAGCAATGTTAGCGGATATAGGGTCAGGCTGGAAAAGAGCTAGCGACGGTCAAACCAAAACATGGATTCACCAGTCAATGAAATCTACAACAGTTAGTCTAAGCCACATAGGAAGGTGTAGACTTCCTGGTTGAGGTCCTCGGGACGGTAGTAACCAATGGTTGGAAACAATTGGTGACATGGCTCAATGGCGCAGATGCATCCACTCCCTGTGACTTATGATTTCCAATGAAACTGTTTTGTTCTTCGTCATTACTCCTCCTTTGTCTCACACCTCTGCTCACTGTTTCTATTATGCTTTTCTTGTACTTTCTTCTCTTGCTTCGCGTGCTTCATGGAGGGAGTGTGGCGACTTGAAGTGCCGCACATTTGTGCAAAGTTCTATGTCGAAAACAGACAGACAGAGAGACTATCGGAAATACTGGTGATCCCATTGCCACCTCATTCGTCTGTTTGTTAGTTTTATTTTGAAGTGTGAATACAGTGGAGGTTAGAGATAACTAAACGCTTAATATTATTTCGTCGGCTGAGAACTTAGTCCTACTTTTGAGTCCAGAATCAATTTCCAGTACATTCGTAACTGTTTTGCAGAGCTATATTAATAGGAATATTAGTGTACAAAATAGTTATGTCAAAACTGACCATTTTTTCATCTTTTTCTAATTGAATTTTTCCTAGCTTCTGTTTCATTACTTAGGAATTAGTTAGCTTAGGGTCTGACCTACCTCTAATGAGGCATAATACTGATACTAAATATTTACATAACACATATGTCTGGGGTGTTCCTAAAGTCAACTGTCGGCCCAACAGAATACCCTGCTCTATGAATTTTGATAGCGTCTTACATTCTACTCGGATTATTAATTTAAAGCATTAGAGTAAACCATTTTGATTCACTTGACATATTAGATCATTTGTAGAGTTTTTGATCGTATTCACAATAGTGTCTACGGTTTTTTTTTTAAAAATTTCCTCATTGTGGGCTTGTTTCATTACTTTCATTGACCTTGTTGATGTAATCTGATTTTTCCGATTTGTCCGATTTTGCGATTTTTGTCGTTCAAGCTTTTTAGAGCAACCATTTTGGCTACTCAAACCTCAGTAGGTGGAGGTGTGGAGGGGGGGGGACTCCGAACCTGTGGCCCAGTGTGTTTAGTACTGGAATGCCTAGAAAGGTTTGTCACATATCCACTGATATTAATTTTGTTATGGAACACGATTTAAGCAAGCAAATACGTATTTTCGGTAAATTCCCACCAGACTTTACATTTACATAATGATGAAATATTAGTCATAGGCATTTGAATTCATGTGGTTAATAAATTATAAGATCACAGTTGTGAATTAGTGGGTAACAATCGAGTCGATCATTATAATAAATAATTTTTCTTCCCTTCACGTTCCCAGTGGAACATAGGGCTTCAAGCTAGTGGTTTGAAGTTTCTGTAGCAGTGTTTATTTTTACAGGATGGGATTGCTATGTAACAACAGAAGACAAGGGCCAGACAACAGATCGTTTATTAAAGAAAGCAGCATGTATTTATATATATTTCACGTGCATTATTATA